TTCAAATAACAAGGCTCGGGTGACTACAACATATATCTTCCATACATCTGATTGTTCAGATATGGGATTTTACTGTAAAACTCCTTTATTTGAACAGCTAAAACCGATAAATTTCGTAAGATATTTTATAAATAATAATACAAAGTCTACTGAGAAAATCGTCAAAATCTATGCTGTATAAGCTTTACCTCCTATAGCACTGATTCTTCTGATACCAGTTTTTGCGATATATCTCCTTTATGTAGGAAACTAAACCCAATAAATTGTGTTACCGGTTTACATACCGATCACATAGCAGTGAAAATCACTTAGATTGGTGCCATATAAAGTACATCTTCCATATCTCTGATTGTTTAGATGCGATTTTTTATATAAGTATGTGTTTAGACGCGACTGCTAACACCAGGCGCCTAAATTCATGCTATGTACTGCTGCATGTGCAAAAATTTCCTTCATTAAATTAATGAAATTTATGTACATGCACTTCTCAACTGCCATGTAATAAAACTTTCTTAAGTTATAATTTGATGGCAGTTCAAAGTATGCTCTGCCTAGTCGGATGCATCCTCCGGACACTGCTTCCGGAGCATTCTGCGGACTCTGCATGGCTTACAACCATGCGGAGGTGGTAATAGTTGATTACCATTGGCCACAGTGCCTAACCACTACTTTTTGGTCCAATAAATATTTTTTTTATATACATACATGCAAACATACTGGTCTCCCCTCTCACTGAGTTATTCAGTATGTAACTCCTCTATCGATGTATGCAGATGTATTCAAAATCAGTAATCTGTCAAACTAAAATTTGCAGATGTTCATGAAAGGTATGAAGCCTTCGGCATAGCCGAAGACGTTATTTAAAGCGGCAAATGACCACCAAACCTTAATCTTAGCAGACAAATGTGCCAATGAAAATCGTAAACGTGAATTGTTGGTGAAAATGTTGGACCAAAAAGTTTCAATAAAATATATAAAAATTTTGGGCGGGACGAAGTTCGCCGGGTCTGCTAGTATGTAATACTTCTAAATTGATAGTAACGTATCTTCACAATGTATTTTTATTCCGCAATCAAAGGGAGACAGCCTATCAAATAAATGTTTGCTTGTGTTAGTATAAATGTATAGTTGTGAACTATTACAAACAAACAACTGTCAAGTCACTCCAAGAGCGGTTTAAATTAAAAATATTAAAAAAATAGAAAAATAAAATAACCAAAAATTTTTCCCTGAGCGTGACTGGGGCGAGCTTTGTGGTAACCGGCGGATTTGAATAAGCAGCAAGATATGTATAAGTTACACTTGAGGCGATCACCATATCCACTATTGAAAGATATAGAGGATCTGTGCCTTCCTTTCCAGCACCTTAGACAGCATGTAGCGTCTGCCCGTTTTCCCTGATACGGCTCATTTTTAAGTAAACAGTGCAACATACCGACACGTGCAATACGATTCCTTTTTCCTTGCTTTTTTGTTCAAAAGTTCCACACACATTTTTTTTCTTTAATTAAAATTTAATTGTGTAAAATATTGACGGTTACTGCACCGCTCCTGATTTTTTATTCTTTTCAAACGCCATTCTGGCTGGTTGGTTTTCTCGTTCTCTCATTATATATCTGCACTCTAATGTTGGCGGATGTACTTTCAGCGTACTGCCAATATAGAAGTATTATATATATGAAAATTTTATTAACCTAAAAGTTTTTGCGAAGTGTTTATCGAATTTAATGTAAAATTTAAACATTTTTAATATAAGATGTTAACTATTTTTAAAAGGTAAATGTTAATACAACTGTTTTATATATAATCCCAAATTTATGATATAAAATCCCCTCTAATAAAAAACTTAAATTGCGTAACACCGCTTCGAATTTTTACAATTGAGCAATTGTCAAAAATCTGCCTTTTTATCAAGAACTTGTTTACCAGGGTGTCTTTGAATTAATGATTGGTACTGAATTAAATAATGCACACATATAAAAGATTGCAGCCTTTTCAATACTTATTCAGTGTTAAACCTTTTTTTGATTTGGCATTGGTGTTTTCAATCTTGCTAAGAATATGTTGATGTGTGAATTCATAACTGCTTTGAGTGAATGGAAAATTTAAAAATTATAAACCCCAATCTGAAGCGAGGAATAAGTAATGAAAACTAAATAGAAAAAATTGTTAATTTAAAATTGAAAATGAGTTCACACTTACACAGCTCTGATGTGTACCAACTTACAGCCATGGAAGGGTGGGAAAAGGGCAGCCCTAACCCACACAGGCGCTGTCTAGCATTTTGGCTGTCCGAATATGTAGGTATGGTGGGAGGTCACAGTGGATTGCAAGTGTAAGTATAAATAGGTTTCCGCATGTGTTTTCCTTCCAAGTGTGCAATTTTTATACCCGAGAGCACTTGTGCACAAGGGTATATCTTTTTTGTTCATATAACGGTTGTTTGTAACAGCCAAAACGAATCGAGATAGATATAGACAAATGTATACATAAATGCTCAGAAAGAATTCGATTCAGCCATCTCTGTCTGTCCGTCTGTCCGTCCGTCCGTGTACACGATAACTCGAGCAAAAATTGAGATATCTCAACGAAATTTGGTATGTAAGTTTCCATTAATCCAAGGTAGGTTAGTATTGAAAATGGGCGTAATCGGACTGCAACCACGCCCACTTCCCATATAACGGTAGTTTCCAGAAATACGAAAACTGCGATATTTTAATAACTACTGAAGATAATTCACTCAAAATTGATATTTACAATAATTTTCAGACGAAAAATAAGAATATTATAAATTTTTGAAAAATGGGCGTAGCCAAGCCTACTTATGGTTACATGTGTATATCTTGGTAACCGCAGCCCCAATTTCTTCCAAGCTTAGCACAGTTGTTGGCCTTGGTACAGCATACAAAATAGCCGAAAATTTAAGAAATCGGACAATAACTACGCCCACATCCCATATAATGGTAATTTAGAGAAATACAAAATCTTCGATAAATCAGTAAATATTAAAGCTAATTTATTCAAAAGTGATGCTTGCAATTCTTTAACTGCAACTACAAACCGGGCAATACTTAGTAAATTTTTTATGTAAAATACTTCCAGATAGTTGCTTCTCCATACTCAAATGCAATGTAGTTAACCCTCAAGCAGGCGAATTTTTTTGGTGATGGCGAAAAAAATTTTTACAAACTAATTTTGCATCGAGAAAAACGAAAATGAGATCATTTTTCACCTTAGGCAAATATTTAATAAGCTGAAGTGAAAAAACCGTTACACCGCTTCTAAGCGGTGTTGCCTGGTAGAGGAAAGAATTGGCACTGAAGAGGAAATGTACAATAAACACGAAAATATCAGTTAGAGGAAAGTTTATTTCTTATGAAACTGTACGAAACAATTTCTGTCTTTAAGCAAGCAAAGATTTAAGTTACATTTCATGCATGTTACCTGTGTTTTATATTTACAACCAG